ATCAATGAATTCTGAAAAGATTTGGAAGGTTTGGGATGATATTATCCCACAGTGAGTCTGTCTATGCTTAAATCTGCCATAAATGTAAACTTACATTTTAGCTTAAACATCTGGCTCGTTTCCTTGCTGTCTTCACGCAGTAATTCTCTTATCCTTTTATCGATTTCAAAACATGCTCTTTCAATTTATCCTATTTTGTGCACTCTGCCCTGCCTCCCATTAGCAATAGCCAGACCTCCCCCAGCATTTCCCATGTAAAAATCCGGTACTTGGTCCTGTCTCTCTACAACGCTGCCTGTGTCTTTCTTCAGACTTTTAAGGGCATCATTTCTGCATTAAATTGGTAGGGGAAAAATAAATAAATCAGTAACACAGCTAACGAGAAAATATAGGAATGTAACGAACAGGCAAAACAGGGTGCCAGCAGCCCATGTTGGTTAAGCTGCTTGTGGAACAGCAATGCTTGACCTACCATTTTCAGATTTCCTACCTTGTGCTCCATTCCTTTTTTTTAAACCTTAAGTTTCTGTCTGTTTTGCCTTCAGTCCATGATCCTAAATACCCTTTCTTTCAACTGAAGTCCTTACACTGTTTTTTTGACCTGCAAGGACTTAATACAGTAGCAAATCTTTGGAGGATAGTTTGACTTGTGCTGTATCATGAAACATCACTAGAACTTTATTCTGCCATTTATTCTGCTTTAAACCAAGACCATAAATCAAGAGCTGAGTCAAATGGAGAGGAGGATGAATGTCTTTACTCTTTATATGGCAAAAAGATATCCCCCATTTCTCAAACATATAATCAGGAGCACATACAGTTGCATATGAACTAGAAGGAAGTTTGTATTCCAGAGTTCAATGAGAATTCTGAATACTTCTTCTGATGAATGTCTTCATATAAAAATACCAGCAATCGTGGTACAAACTGTAGTTAGAAGAAATACAACTCAAAGAAAAGTTACATGCTACACTTTTTCAATACTTTTCAAGTGCAGCTGTCACACTGGACTGAGAGGTTTTTATCATTATAGGTCAGCCTAAATCACAGGCCACTGAGTGAGTAGCCTCTTAAAATCCATAAAAGACAGGAAACAATTAGCATTTAGTAACAGTTTGGGAATTAAATAAAATCCTTAGGAGCAAGATATATTTATCCTCCGTTCCTCCACAATCTCCCATTTTTAAACTCTCATACTGTAATTTCATTATTGCTATAACACTTCCCAATATGTGAGCAGGTGATGTTAACTTGACTATCACTTCTGAGGAGGTTTGGGTCACCTGTAAGGATAGTGCCAGGGAATTGTGAAACACAATTGCCACCTATTGCCAGCTTTCCAGACTTTAAGGTAATGCAAAGATGTGCCTTTCCTTGAAGTTCAAATATCTAGCTTGCGCTGTTTGTTCCCTATTAGCCCACCTTGAACTCAGGCTTCAGGAAAAGAGCTGTAATGCTGGAGAACAGCAACATACTGGGTAAAGTATGTATTAAACCATTTGTTCTTCCTTGGAAAGGAGTATCCAGCTGAAACACTATTATTTATATCCTTTGGGTTTTGAAGTTAATGTTTTATATAGCAATTGCACTAATCAACAGAGGCTTTTGCAGAATAAAATGTATTTAATTACTAGCTCAGGAGCAGCATTCCCAGATGTACCGGAACATAAAAGACATTCAGACAAAGAGGTCTGTGTTCTACACAGCTGGCTAGCAAATGCAAAGGCTTCAGCCTGACCAACAGCGACACCAGCAGGAACACAATGATTTTTAAAAAAGGCTTCACTACGCTCTTTGTAAGTTCCTCCCCCCAAAATGCAAGTGTATTTCCCTGTTATGTAATGAAGTCTATGGAAAATCAGTACTAATAACTTAGCAGAAATTAGAGAGACTGATAACAAATTATCTACCTTTGTACCAGTTATCCATAGGCAAGCATGCTGAAAATGCAAGGTAAGGTAAGATACTCCTCTCTGCAAGCAGCACATCAGTGGCAGCAGAAGTTTGCAGACTGAATGCAATTAATCCATTAGTTTTACAACACCTGGCATGTGCTAATGACAGTGGGTTTTGCTGATCAAGGAATACTAAACAGAAAACACAAAAAAAAGTCTTTGCTAAGCCAGTGTTTTTATTCAAGAATTTGATTCTATGTGATTAAGTCAGGAAAATGAGAGTATACACTTGTGTAATACATGCCCAGCACCTTAATGCAGCATCAACATGGCCAGTGATTCAGAAGAAAATCCAGGCAAAAATGTGTCCTGTAATTTACACTTTTTCACATAGTTCCTGCTGAGATTAATGCTGAAACATAAATGGACTAGTACTGGCTAATGAGTCTTGAATGCAGCAGCTATACATACAGTTTCTCATACAGAAACATCGACAGCTGCCATAAAGTAAGAGATCTGGCAGCCATGTGGTTTTCAACTTGTCCAGCAACAACACATAAACAGAATGACAGAAATATCACAAGAAAACAACATGATACAACACGAATGGGCTGGTATGTTAGTAGTGAAAGATAACAGTGAGCACTTTCCTGGTTCTTTTAAATTCAGCACTGCAGGACCACTTCTTGTAAAATCCCAAGCTCTGAGACCTATTACTGGCAAGTAGTATTCTTGGTTCCTGAAAACAGTCCCCATACCAATTCTGCAGTTTGGAACTGTGACAGGATACAACAGAAGAGAAGGAGCCTGTAGCTCACATTTTCATCATTCATTAAAAAAGCAACTGCTCTGTTTATCAGCAAAAATTATATCAATAGAATTTTCATTTTTCTTCAGATAATAATACCACAAAAAGAAAGGAAGCTACTTGCAAGACTATTCCATCAAGGTCATTTCACAGTAAGCAATACTGTGCTAACAAATGAATTATTGATCATGTGTCATTTAACACTTGTTATTCACTGGTATTACACACTCAGTGGTAATTAAGTTTATGCAACTGTGGAAGATGCTGATAGAATTTGTATTAAAACTGCAAGTTCCATTATGTTGCACATACCAGTAGCTCCAAGACACCCTTTATGAATTCTAAAAATTGCTTTGTTTGGGTGAAACAATCCACTGACAGCTAATGTAGTTTACAATCTCCTGAGTGGACTTTCCAAATTAAAGCAGAAACTGAGAAACTGGGAGCTTATCATGTCTTTAAACCTCCTTAGATTAATACTTCATCATAATCATAACTGCTTACAGGCACCTAAATTCTTGCCAAAACATACTGCAATGTGCAGCTGTCTTTAAAAGACACTCTCCCCTGAGCTACTGCACTGAAGTCATACAGGTAGTCAATTCAGGTAGGATTGTTCAACACCACATACCTATACATAGAGAAGGGTGGGAAGAAGCAAACTGCAAAAATAATGTAAGGAATTCAAAGCTGCCTGGAAGGCAGAAGCAGCATTATGATTACATGCTCCAAGGCCATACTAGTAGTCCAGTGTCAACGTAGATAACAGGATCTTTGCAAAAATCAGGATGAATTTGTACTTACAGTCAATCTAACGGTCTTACTCATAACATACAAAGGTAGTTATACGTATTTCAAGCCAAACCCTTTGTAAGACTATTCAAATTTTTTATTAAAGAAGTGACTGTTATGTATTGAAGTGTCAAGCTAACCCTTAAAAGCAGTTTAGTATGGTTTGCTATAATCACCCTCTTGACCATACTCCCACACTTTTTCCATTCATATTCATTTTCAGATAATGATTTGAAGACCAGTCACACATCAGACTTGCCATCCCATTATTTCTTTTCATTCATGGTCTAAGTTCATATATCTAAAGCCAGATGGCAGAATCAACCTTATTATTGTAATTTAAACCACTGGATTTGTGAAATTATTTTACCCAAAAAGAGTAAAAAAAGCCTTTATTTTCAAGAACAACAGAAGTGACATGAAGCTATTAATAAGCAGCAGAACATTCTTTTTTTTCATTGTTGAGAGTTTCATAATAACATTCAGTGCCATAGAACAGCATTAAAGAATACAGTTTCTATAAATCTGTGTTATTTTCAGAATTACTAAATTCGGGAACTGAATTGTTTCTTTATCTGCTGGTGATTTACCTCTCTGCTTAGTTCCTTCTCTGTTCCTATACATTCTTTAATGAAATCCATTTCCTATTTAAACAGCCAAGCACAAGGGAATGGAAAAGAGTTCACCTGGATGTAAGAGTTGGTAGGATAAAACTTTGGCTGCCTAACGTTTGATCTACAGAAGGCAACACCCCAAATACCTTATATAATACAGATGTAAAATTCTAAACACTATTCATTTTAAAACTAGATACTAACGTGAAAGAAGACCAAATAGCATTGTGTTATGGTGGACCTTCAGTACAGTTTGCATGGTATTGCTATTATAATATCAAAAGTCAAAACAGACTCCTAGAATCTGAGCCCTAAATGAATAGTTCTGCCACGTCTAGAGATTGTGGAAATTTGGTACGTAAGGAAACGAAATCTCCAAAAACAATACTTTAAAAACCTCAGAAGTTACTCTGTGGAAAGCTAAAATCAGTCTAGTAGCACTGTGCCTATTCTAATCCTGAGTCTTGAGTAAGGCTCCCAAATGAGCTGCTGTTAGCTATAATCTCCAGTGGCCACAAGAAGTTCCCATCTGAGCTGAAACACAAAAACAATTTGCCTTTTAGTGGCAAATTCCCTCAGGAAGAGTATTCCCTCCTGGCTGCATCTCCAGTTCTTCGCTGGTTTGGTTGTAGGGTGTCACAAGAACCATGACAACCTGAATTGGCTGTAACCCTTTCTAGCATCAAGAGAAGGTTCCAAAAGACTACAGTGGTCCTTGGTCTTACCCTGTGTCTCCCAACATAATCAGTGAAAGTCTCCTTTCTGAAGGAGAAGCAGGAAAACAAAAGCAGTCCAGTGACTATTCCCTTAGCTTGCAGTCCAGTGTGTGAAAACGGTCAGCTGAATGTTCCTGCTCCAAAACAACGAACAAAACAAACAAGAGGCCCAAGCTATCTCACAAAATGTACTTTTATTTATGCATTGAAAAATAGCCCTCTACTGCCCACCCCCCACAGCACCAGTTTTCTGCAGGAAACCTGGCACACAGCTTGAAGCACAGACTAGGAGCTGGAAATATCAGCAAATTGTAGGGAGGGAAGGGATACAGTGTTGGTAGTGAAATACAAGAGTAAGGCAACAGGTTATCCAGGCCACCTGAATACAAGATTGTTAGTATCAGTCCCTCTCCCTTCTTCCCAAAGACCATATACTTCTCTCATTTGAAGACTGAAGTAGTAAATTCATACACAGAAAGTGAAGCAATTTTAGAGTAGATGATTTTCTGAAGAATTGGTTTCAGATAATAAATTTTTATCCCCATAATGCTTAGAAGATGCTTGATTCTGAAATGGTAGGAGAGTTCATAGCACGGCCACTCATAAGGCTGTTACTGAAACTTAATTCCTTGAGCCAGAGGCAAATCCTTGCTGTAGTTGATTGTACTGGAAGAGAAACAAGTATTTAGAGACCAGAGTTAATCACTGAAACGGATTTTGCAATCCACTTCTTACATACAAGGTTTCTGATTTCTGTCACATGTAAACAAAAGACTTCTGTAAGCAGTTTGCCTATTTAAAGTGAGGAACTGACTCTACTCCAGCTTTCAACCTCGTAACTATATACAGGGAAAGACCACATTCCTCATTATCTCTTCCTTGATAGAGAATCTATTTCTCTCTTCACCTATTTAAACTTTTACTATAACAACATCCAGATAGAAAAAGCAAGGTGGGATTTCTCACTTTCATAAACCCAAAGTTAGCAGAGGTAAAGGCTGGGGAGGTCAACAGAGAATGTGAACAGACAACCACTACAGGCTGTCAGAAGATCTACAGTTAGATAACCAAAACATAGCTAAATCACGCACCAGCAGCACTGTGGTTGCCACTTTCTGTATTTCCTGACAAGTTTCAGTAATTTAATTTTTAGATTAGTTTAAAATCAAGCAAGAGGGGGAAAAAAATCAGGGATTTTCTTTCCTTGTGAAAGGAAAAAAAAAGTCTTTACAAAAACCCTTCAAACTATCTTCTACTAGGAATGTGAAGGGAATTACACTTATATATAGTTATCTCATGTTCAGCAAAAATAGCCTCTTTGTAGTCAAAGATTTATATGTTTTGAACTTTTGAAAGTTTATGCATAGTTTACATTTATTTGGAATTTAAAAGGTCTGTCTTACCAAGTAGACCGTCTCATATAAAGTTTCCATGAATCACTTCCAGATTCCCTTCCCCCACCAGTGTGCTTTTCACCACCTGTAGAAAAAAGGTTATAAATTAAATTTGATTTTTTCTTGGTTTTTTTTGGAGCATGGGAATCTGGACTAACTCCAACAAGTGGGACATTTTATAAAAATATATGGGAAAAACTATTCCCTTGCCCTTGTCCTCTCTCTGAACTGAATTACTAGAACACCACCCCACACAATACACACAGCTAGCTCTCTCTCTCTTGCTTGATGCAAAAAAATATCTGCCTGGAGTTGAAATCTCATCATGGTGGCACCAGACAACCTTGTTTTAAAGATATTTTGTCTTAATACAAGACAAGAGTATAAGAATGTGCTGGTTCTTGTACTGTTTAAATGATAAGGAGAACATTTCTTCTTCTACTGCCTCACTTCCTTATGTACAAAAAAGAGAAATAAAAGTAAAAATGCTTATTTAAAGACTTTTTCATGAAAACACTATATGTTGTAGATCTTATATAAACATGCATATATTCACAACAAAAATGCTCAAGACTGTTATAATTAAAACTGTTCTAAACAGTTTTCCACCTGGCCATATCTCTAAACTCCTTCATACCTCTGACTCACATTCCCTTGATGGGAAGGAGGAAATAACTAATGGAATTTTTAAAACCAAATACAGATATTTTTAAAATATCTGTGTTTAGTGGTTGAAATTCAACTACCTCTGATCAGTATCTCTTTACTGCTAAAGCAGTATAACTCAAAATTACCTAAACTGATTTCTTCACATTTAGCCATTTAAACAGACTGATTAAAAGCTTGAAAAATAAAAAGGGGAGACCTAAATTACAACCGTTTTGCAGTGGTAATGTTCTACTCTCTTCCAGAGTTGTTACAAAAATTAAAAAAAAAAATGAATTCCTAAGTTTTAAAAAAAAAGTGAAGTCTGAGGAATAATACCAAGCCTCTAGATCAAATGCTAGAGGACTTTACCATTTGAAGGAAAAGGAAAAAACGTGTAACATACCAAAAGCACCTCCAATCTCAGCTCCGCTGGTTGGGATGTTAACATTCACAATGCCACAGTCAGAACCCTTTGGCCTACAAAGATAAGACAATTACTCTTTAGGATCAGGAAAGGCTCCTTCCCTAAAATGAGGGCTATAGAATGCTCAACTAGGATCGTGCATAGGTTTACAAAATACACAAAAGACTGTGATTTTTAAGTTATACCCAAGCCAGCGGAAAATCCTTCCCAAATCCTTGGTAAAGATACTGCTGGAAAGACCTTGTTTTACTTCATTATTCCAGGCAAAAACATCCTCTTCCTCCTAGAAGCAACACATATGATTGGTTAAGCCATGATTATTCAAGGCAAAGCAGTTACAAAAAAGCACTGTGAGAAAAAACCTCAACGTACCACAGCCCTAACACAAATACACTGAATGCCACTGGGCAAACACACACGTACCACGACAGCAATACCTCCACCACTGCACAAAACGCACTCTCTGCATTTCAATAGATAGGAACAATATCAACAATACAACATAACATAAAAAATAGAAATCTATTCCTGTACAAACTCTCATTTTAACTCCAGTGCTCTTCACACAAATGTAGCTACGCAGTGAGGTTAGTTATTATAGTGGATATTTCACTGTGCAGAATAAGAGTTACCACCTCTTGAAGTGCTGGGACAATTGCACTGACATGACATACATCAGACATCTCTCTCCTGACTCTTCTGTTAGCATCCTTGACACCTGACTAGTTCCCCACTGTTATTTTACCTTAAACTTCAGCACATACAGTATGGGGGCAAACGTCTCAGTGTGGACAATGGGTGCATTATGAGGAAGGCCAGTCACAATAGTCGGTTCGACATAGTTTCCAGGGCGATTTATAACCTTTAAAACACATAAAAAGCAACTGAGTTGTTTAAATTCGAATGTAGCTTAGCACTAGCATAGGAAAGGAATCCTTCAAGATCTGAGTACTAAAGTTGTTTCTAGTAATCAGAAACAGACGGTCAGGTAATCTGAGTAGATAACTTTGCTATTTGGTTACCTCCTTAGTTGACATAAACTATGCTGCTATATTTTAAATACTTGTTTAAGTATTTAAAATATAGAAGCATAGTTTATGTCAACTAAGGAGGTAACCAAATAGCAAAGTCTAGCAACTGAGACTAAAAACACTTCTTTTCTCCAACTTGTAAGCTAATTGGAATTTTAAAGGTATCAAGAATAAAGAAGGTGCCAGTGAAAGACAAGAATTCCCAGAATGTTACTTCAATGAGAACTAAATATCCCTTATGATGAAAATATGCAAGTGGCTGTCTTGAGTCTTCAGTATTTCCTGAAGTTTGATACTGTGAGTTCAGGGACAGAACCACTATTTTCCTTCTTATATGTTTGATATTCACCATTTACAATGTTGGTTTTATTTTCACCACCACCTGCAACCGGAGAGTGGTATAAGAAAGAGCCAAAAGCTCTTAATCTTGAAGGAGAAGGTAGTTTCCAAATACAATCACCTTTACCCTGAAGACAGGATTCCAATTCAAACATTGTCAGACTGACTAAACTAATATCCTTTAGTGGTTGACAGGACAAATGGAGAAACAATTTTGGTTTAAGCCACCATGTTATTGTGTTTTTTCCTAGAGCACAAAATGTAGCAGTAAAAGTTAAGTAAAAGTTAAAGTCACCTTTCCCCCATAGACCACAGAGCCACCCTGTTGTTTCGCCTGTTCTACTGCATCAAGGAACATTTTCACTGCTTCTTTGGTATGAAGAGGCCCATACAGAGTGTTAGCTAAAAAGAGAAGATTCAGAGGCATACTTTCAGCAAAACTGTATACATTTGCAAGTACTCTTATCGTGACATTTTGGGACTAACTTTTTAATCTGTCCAAGATGAGCAGTATTAGCCAGATTCTTCATCTTCCTTTCAGAGTTTGTATTCTAAATGAATTTAGAATTTCCACTCCCAGGTAAACTGCTAAAATTAGATATCCTTAATCTATAATCCCTTTGGAATTTAAAGAGAAAGAAACAAACAGACTTGTCTCCTAAATCTGTGAGCGGGAAATGGTTACTTACGATCCCATGGATCACCGATGCGGACCTGGGCATAGGCCTTAGCAAGCTTTGCCACCACCTCATCATGGATGCTTTCATGGAGAAACTAAAATGTGGAAAGAAAATTGTAAGACAGCACAGCCTATGTAATTATTCCTGGACACTACTGCACTTTGAAGAGGGATGAATGAAGTGTGGAGATAGTGTTGCTCATATTCAGCAAATCCCAAAGTTAAAAATAAACACAGAGTAAGGCCTTCAAACAGCACCAACACTAGAAAAATGAAGATGTAAAATCTTCACCATGAAGATTTAAAACCAGTAAAGAAACAAAACCCTGTTTTACCCCATCTCATATCAGTGACATCGATGTGTTCTGTAAACACTTCAGGTAAGTGTTCTAGGACAAATACTCAAGTAATTTTATTGCTACAATTTGAGGAATCTCTGCCCATCCAATACACCCAAATCAATTTTGACTAATATTTACCCAATCAACCCAACTCTGAAAAGACTATACAAACACTGACTGATACTGTAACACCTTTAAATTTGTTGAAAATGATTGGTTAAAAATTAATAACAAAGTAAGCCAAACACACCCCCTTGCTTTGCTGAAATCTAAACCCTGCACCAAAATGTGTAGCAATCACAAGCAAAGAAGTTCTGGCAATGGAAACAGAGAGAAATACAGAAGTATGCCAAGTTTTATTTTCTCGGCTTTTAGCACCACATACTTGTTGAAACACATACAAAGAAACTATTTAGATTTAGAATTATGGTGGAATGAAACCGCGTTCTTATTTTTCCATCATACTTACTTATACTAAGTAAAAATGTGTTTCAAATATCATTTGTGGCTCTTCCTAATACTAGGAATTGTCAGACATTTCCTGAGCAAATTTGGAACTAAGTTAAAATGCAGAGCTACCCAGACCAGACAATACACATTTACTCACCAGCCTTCTAGCAGTTGTGCACCTCTGACCTGCTGTTCCCACCGCAGCAAATAGAGCAGATGGGATGACTAGGTTCAGATCTGCATCTTCAAACACTTTAAAACAATTAAAACATGAGCATGTTACTGAAGTAAACAGGCAATTCACAAGACTTAAGACGCCTACACAATATTGTAACCTGACAGGTTGGTCAGGAAGCATTAGGAGCAATTGCACTAGCACAGCACAGTTAATATATATAGAAATACCTTGAAACTCTTATTATCTCTTTACAACTGAACTAGATTCATGCACTTGATACAAATAAAGGTCCAACCTACTGAAGAGAGCCTTTTGCAATAAAGCTTGCAAAGAACTTCAGCTTCATTTTAATTCAAGAAACTACAAGCAATTTCTTGCTGTTTCTCCACCTTGTCCTTCTCTCACTGAGGAAAGTTTCAGCATAAAGAAACTATAGTAAAGTATATCCAGATGGCCTTTCAAAAAACGTAGCTTAAACACACAGGTGTACAATAATAAAAAATACACAATAAGCTGAACCAATTCCTCTGGCTTTGAGAAGACATTGAGATCTTTTATAAGCCTCAAATGATTCCCAAAATATCACTTAGCTTAACCAGTTCCACCAAATTCTTTTAAGCATTCAAAACTATTATTAAATTTGGGATAAAGTCCAACTGAACAATGATTATGCAATCATTAAAAGCCAATTCCAGAAAAAGTAGGACTCTGATATGAAAAATGAAACAATTTTCAAAGTATAAAACAAGTTTATGCTACTGGCTACAAAGCAGCACAGGGAAAAAAAAAAAAAGACACGCTCAAATGTGATTTTCAAAAGAGTAGATGAGATATGTGTAGATAAGCACATTTGTTCAAAATACGAGCAAGGTGAAACAAAAGACTAACACAGTAGGATTGCAATTTAGGTATTTAGCTTACAGTTTCTTTCTTTCACATTGCTCAGCTATATCATATTTATGTTGTTTATCTGGGAACTGGACCCCCTCCACAACACTGAAGACAGAAAAAAACCCCCAACATTCTATTATGTACTTTTAAAAGCCCAGTGGGAGGCCGGGAGGGGAACCTAACAAAAACCAAAAAACGAAGCAGCCAACCAACCAACCAACCAAAAAATCCCTCCACAAAACAGAAAAAAGGGACGATTTCTACAAACATTTGCCCACTAACTTCCAAATATCATCTATATGATTAAATTTCTAAAGTGCATATTACCAATAATGGCATTGTTTCCTCCCAGTTCCAGCAGGCTTCGACCTAATAAAAGCACACAAAATAAGTTATGTCATGCATGCACATATTCACTGTACCTCAGTTTAGTTAGAGGTCACCTCTAACTAGAGCTAACATTCATTAAATATATTTTTCTGTATGAACAAAAGGTTTTAGGCATCGCAATCAACTAACCACTCTAGCCAAAGCAAAAAAATTACATCTAATACTACATCTATCACATGTTGTGAAGAAAGATACATGGACAGTAGTTATGGCACAAAGAAGCTTAAAAAACAGGCAAAAATAGCGCTGGAAATAAAAAGATGAAAGCAGGAAAAAGGTGCAGCACAAATACTGTGATGCAGAAAAAGAAAGAGAATTCAAAGAATAAGAGATCAAAATGCACACACAAAATTTAACTACGCTTACCTATTTCTCTGGCAACTGTTTTATCTAAAATCTGAGCTAAAGAATCCCAGTTCTACCTCTGAGTAAATATTCACAATCTGTTCTGAGTTTTTTGGTTTGTTTTTTTACACTTCTATGAACTTCAAATGTATAAAATGAGAAAACCATGTTCACAAGGTTTTATGTTCTAAATTAAAAAGTTAGAATCCAGCAGGTGAGCTGCTGTACACTTCATTCCTCTACACTTTTAAATATTTGCAACAAAAAACAGCACCTCAAAAATCATCACTTTTCTCATATATTTATAAGGAATAAAAGGTGAGTGCACATGTACTCATGAACACATTGCCAAAAGACCATAGGGCCTAGATGTCCACCTTGGCAATTTACACACAATTACATTCATGGACACCATCGCACCCTTCTATTAATTAGTTGTAGGACCGTGGATTTGTGGATCTCCTGGAAAAAAATGCTGAGTAACAGAACTAACCAAAAAATGAAGTACCTATTTCTGAGCAGTTTCAAACTCCTATTTCTCCAAGTCAAAAAAAAAATAAGAAAAAAGCTAACACAGCTGAAACAACCTGTTATTTTAAAATCCTGTGGGGCTCCACTGGCTTTACCAACCCTGGAAAGAAACACAGGAGAACGTACACACTCACCAAATCTCTCCTGAACCATAAGTGCTACTTCCTTGCCCACTTTTGTGCTGCCAGTGAAGGACAACAGGTCCATCCTCTCATCTCTCGCCATTGCTGTCCTGCATAATGGGAGACATACCACCATGTCCAATGGAAGATCACATAAATGGAAAAGCAGCTTGCACATTCCACATACACCAATTTCAATCAGGGAGATCTTTAAAGTCAAAACCACTTCTTTGAAACATTTTGTAAGTGACTGAGCTAATGGCAGGAAACCTGCCTAGTGAGAAATATGGAACAAGAGGCCATTTCCCTCTACCTTTTCAGGCCATAAAAGCAGCATTTCCAGCAACACTGAAATTCAGTCTAAATTACATAGTGAGATCGGCTCTAATTGTTATTATCTCTAAGAAAATACGCATATCTATGACTTTTTTTTAATGCTTGCTATACATTTTGTCTTCTCTTAAAATGCTCAAAAGATACATCTGAGTATACATTTGTACTGGGAATTTCCACACTGTAAAAATAAAGCAAAACAATTTGGTTTGAACAGCTTCCAAGCACAGGTATACATCTATAAGCAAGTGCTGAGTCCTGTGTGAGCATGGAAAATGGGCACATATTCTCCTCCACAAGTAATCCAAAAGGCCAGTGGGCTAGACATTGAAAACTCCTAAGAGCATGATGAGTGGAATTTAATATCAGCTATATTCTTTGAGTGCAAGCATATGTAGAAATAGAATATAAATTTAGTCTCCTCATTTGAGAAGTTATTTGTTAGCAGCTGATCTCACAACAGCAAGTAGACATATTTATTATATTTAGATCAGGGCCAGAGTTTCAGATCAGTTGATGAAAATCATGGCAACATGTGTATCTACTGGGAACTCCTGGACACCAGAATAACTTTCTGAGTAGTTCAAAGAACATTCCTTTTACAGAGGTTCACAAAACACAAGAAATTTTACTTACCCAATGTCCGCTCCACCACAAACCAAAGAACAGATTGCTCCAGGCAACTTGTTATCCTCCAAGACTTTGGCAATTATTCTAGAATCAAAGATGTAAAAATTTCAGAGATTTCTGACAGGTACAAATAGGGAGTGAACCGTTAAAACTGGTTTTGAGTTTTTGGAGTAGTAGTGGTTTAGGGTCACTGTTCTTAGGAGTTAAGATTAGAGCTACAAGACTTAGTAATTAACTATTTTAAGGAACCTACTTATATTTAGCATTTCAAAATAAATGTTATTTGTAATACACAATAAATAAGTGTTTAAAATGCTAATATATTAAGCAAAGTAACAATAAACCTGAAATAAATATCACTATGGCATTTACTCTTTGGAGAAGTTCTTTTTATTGAGACTGAGTTTTCCCTTTCATCGAGAATGAGTTTTGAACACTGGAAGTGCATGCTAAGGTGTTACTGGGTTTTGGGTAATAAAGACTGTGTGACAGTATCTTCATGATATGGGTCTACAGAGCCAGCCAGAAGAATCTGCCAAGAAACTGGGTGCTGATGTTGTGTTGAGATTACAGAAAATAGGAGATGATTCTGAAACATGAGTGTGTCATTGAGGGAAGCTGAATTTCAAGAGCAGTTCATCTTTCACAAGGAAGCAAACCACACAGCTAGCCCACTTTCAGCAGAAACACAGCCCTGGTTCCAGAAAAAAATAGTCAACAGTATAGGTAACATCCTATATACACAATTACTATTAGGGGAAAGTATTTCTTCTGACCACTATTCACTACCTCAAACAGAAAAGCAGTTGTTTAAAAAGCAAAACAGAGAGCAAAGAAACCAGAACTCACTTTGTAACAGCAACACTAACAAGGGATGTAGAAGGAGCACCCTTCCTAAAAAGGAAAAAAAAAAAAAAAGAATTACATGAATTTTATTTCAATTCTTTAAGAATAAGAAATTATTCAAATAAGAAATTTTTATGGTATCTGATATACAGCACACTTTGGTTAGGCTGGTTTGCAGATACATGTTAAGACAGCAACTCAAGTATTTCTTTCCACAGCTGAGCATTCAGAAGTTCTACTAAAATCCATGTGAACAAAGGCTTGGCCAAGCATTAGAGTGAAGCAGGCAGACAAAAGCAAAGCAGGATCCACAAGAGGAAATAAAGTTACTTTTTTAGACTTTTAATCTTAGCTGTACCAACTCTGAACATATTAACTCTTCACTACCACTGTTTCAAGACCTCAGGCTGGGTTCTTTATTCACAAGCCATTTGGCTAAGACCTGGATACATCTCAATCTTAATATCTCAAAAAAGAGATTACCACAAAACAAAACAAAGCTCTTTGAGTACAAACAGACCTAACAATAAAAAGAGAACAAGCTTACATTAGATAGAATCAACTATACAGAAACAACAGACATTCAGCAGCAGTTTCATGCCAGAGATAATAGCTCTCTAATTTAAAAATACCATTAGCAGGTTGGAGAGTTAGATCTTACCAGAGGCAAGCGTTTCCACAAATCATTGCAATTGCACTGTTCCACCCATAAACTGCCACAGGAAAGTTAAAGGCTGTGATGATTCCTACTAATCCAACAGGATTCCACTGTTCTATAAGGGCATGGCCAGGTCCTAAAAGCAAAGACACAACATAGTGCAATTTTCATCCATTTAATGTTATTTTTTTTAAGAAAAGGAAAATATGCAAGCAAGGAATCTAGCATCCCTTCTCACTCCATCACAGCATTAGCTTGTGAAGAGCTGTATTATATGTGCACTGCAGCTTACTGGATCAAGGTTAGCTAGATTGTGCACAAAGCTAATGGCATGACAATATAATTAGTTATTCAGTTAACATCACGATGACTGTGTGCTAATCAATAACTGACAAAGAGGTCTCTCCTTTCTAAGTGCACCAAAGAATTTTTTGCATACTTTCCTCTGCCATCCTCCATTAACAAAGAAATCAAAGAGAACTTAATGCTTCAAATAGCAGAGAAAAATCGATGGGCTCACTTGCTTACCTGCCACTTCATTAGGCACTTCATTAGGTGGCGATACTGCCCACCACCACATCCATTCCTAAATCTCCCTAAATAACTCACAGAACAGAGATCTTGCTGCGTTACAGCATCACATATTTAAGACACTTCTCCATCTCTTCATTTGTTAAAAAAACCCAGCAAATCAACTAACCACAAACAAAACCAAACAACATACATACTTACTTTCTGAAGGCAAAATAGGTCCACCAATCATTCGGGACAAACCAACAGCGTAGTCACAGACATCAACATACTCCTGCACTTCCCCAACACCCTCGACAAAAATCTTTCCCATTTCCAAAGAGACCTGACAAAATTAAGACAATTTTTTTAAAATTCCCTTGCATCCCATATACATTTTGTTTCCCATCAATGTCAGGTATATCTGTACACCAGGTAAGATTTTAATACACGTGTTTTCATTAGAAGATAATCACCTCCTCCTGAGTTATTCACAGTTTAAAGAAACAGCACAATAGACAAGAAGACAGGAGTCGCATCTCCATAAAATAGGAGAAAAATTAGAAGAAGAAGAAATAAATGGAGAAATTTTAATAAAACAAATCTACTGAAAGGAGTATCCAACACTAATGAGATTCATATGTTTAGATTAACAAAACACTGGATTTTCATCAGGACATTGCATACATTGTTAACCAGGTATGGAACATACTGGAAAGTGCAAGTACCCTGCTCCAGCAAAAGAAAGTGGTCATTTACATTTTTCATAAGCAAACTACTCATTTTACAACATATCCAAGTGATTTGAGAGATTTTATTTGCAGAGACTGCTGAAAACATCTACACATCTTCATGTTTATGATCAATTTTTTTTTCTTCTAGCTAAGTCAGTCCTAAGCTATATCCTTCTGTTAAAAGCATGTTAGATTTACTCAGCTAACATACACATTATCAATGAGAATAAGTTAGTACTTGAAAACATTTTCCTCCAAAAATGAGAAAACATGCAAACTTAGGAACTGAGAAGTCATCCATTTACCCCCTCTTTACTTTACTGTCATGCTCTGATAAGACTGATGGGTGTTACTTTCATGCAGATACGACCTACCACTTTAGACTGATGACTGTATTTTGAAAAGGCTGTTAAATGAGGAATCAGGTTAAAAGGATTGCCATGGGATTTTTCTCCCCATGCAAATCTTAAAATAAATGTGACTAAATGTATGTCTATGACAACTGTGGTCATCTCAAGACAGAAGGAATGGCTGATTTGTGACCAAAAATGGAGGGGTATCAGATACATTTACTAAAAAATGCAGCAGGGAGTCCATAAATGCAGTAGAAATACCAGGATACTTCACAAGGAAATTGTGACACAAGGCTGAAAATTTTCAGTGGCATATAAGAAAGATGAGTTTCTACACCATTCCTTTTATATATTCCAAATCCAGGGAAAATCTTAAAATCTCAATATCTACTGTACTTCTTTCACCCAGAACTTCATCCTCAGTCATAGAAGAACTGAACAGATGTACTATCTCTTTGGGGAAACTAGGAAAACACAACAATAAGCCACAAAAGTTTTGTTCAAGGAATTCAGAGTGAACTTCTGTCTGTCCACACTCACCAGGGAAGCTGTGCTGTTTTTGAATACAAACACACATTAGCACTCTAATTCCACCACAGAAACGCTGCTGAGGAGACAACATCAAGGGAAAGAACAGAACAAAGTTTTGAAGGTTAACAATATGGGCTTGACTACACATGGAGTTATTCACTGACAGCTGTTTCTGAACAGCAGCACATACAGGTAAGCCCTGTAAAAGGAAAGTGGCAAGTTCCCCACTTGTCTTCTTTTCTTCCCTAGCAACTAGCAAGTGTTTTAAAGGAGAGGTCCTTCAACCTTTATGTCCTGCACAGCACTGCAAGTGGATCTCATTAAGACCATCTCAGCTTCTGAAGCCTTATACTTCCATATGTCAGATGGCAAAATCCTGCAGATCACCAGAAAGAGTTCAAGGTTAAAAGCTCTGTATTACAGGAAGATCTCTTTCAGGATACTTTCAGTATTAGACAGTGCCCTACCTAACAGGCAAGTGAGAAAACAGTTGGGCAACAGTTGTAACACTCCTCCCAGACAGAGCACAGGCTCAGAATGAATTAAATTTTCTTTCTCTACTATATATTATCATTTTATAGAATCACAGAATCATAGAATATCCTGATTTGGAAGGGACCCACAAGGACCACTGAGTCAACTTCTGGCCCTGCACAGGTCCAGACTGAGAGTCACCACTATGAGAGTCACAACATGCATTGTCCAAACACTCCTTGAACTCTGACAGGCACGGTGACATGACCGCTTCCCTGGGGAGCCTGTTCGAGTGCCCAACCATCCTCTGGGTGAAGAGCCTGTTCTCAATATCCAACCTAACTCTCCCCTGACACAGCTTCATACTGTTCCCATGCCAGAATACCTGTTTTAAAATTTTTCCTTCTTCTTCAAATTAAAACTTCACTAGGTAAGCTAACAGAACTAACAGCAATTGTTTAATAATCATTAAGGTTAGTATTGTAGAGTGGTACATTAAAAACTGAGAAAACCAGTTTTGACACATCCCTCACCCTCATGCCCCACTCCCCCTTGTGCCCCCCCAAAGTTAATCTACTTCTGAAAACACCTTACCAAACTTCCTAGAACTTTGATTTTTTGTCTCAGGGCGTCACCAATCTGTCGCACTATTTCTCCACGTTTAGGTGCAGGGATCTAGTCAAAAAAAACCCAGAAGAATCTATGAGAGATTGAACATCTGTGATTTTTGCTGCTTATATACTGCTAGGTCCCCTACCCTTGTAGTAAGCAATCACTAGTTGCTGTGCTCTTTCCCAAGTCTCTGTTACTTGTTAATTTTTATCACGTGCACTTCTTTATAAGCAACTGTTTCCTGCCTCACAGAGTCTGGTAACACTGTGCACATTTATGTCCATTCAAAACTTCAGTTCCACTGGATACTGCCAGAAGCATTCAGACTATTAGTTCTGCTACTTCTGCTCAGCTGCATCACCCACAACGCCCCCACACAAGCAACTGCATCTCAAGAAACAAACATTTTTCATAAAAAGCATGCTTATTGGTTTCTGAGCCTTGGAAGTGTACTTAACACCACATTTCAAACTTTCTTTCAGTATGACATTTATTTTGTTAGCAGATGCTGAGACATACGGAAATCTCAATTATGGAAATATTAAGCCCATGTACCAATTATTAATAGATTTACAGGACTAGCAGTTCTCTGTAAAAACAGGACTGATGAATATATAAACTATGCAATCTTACCTCTTTATAAGCTAAATCTTTCAGATAAACTCATGACAAACAACAAAATTCACAAAATAATAGCATAGGGCATTGAGAAAAGTCTTTAAAGAAACATTTGATATGTTGATTCTTTATCTGTTGGATTGTTTCCAGATTATTTCCAAATATGTTACAAGTCACTAACATTATACTCACAGATTGTAACAAAAGAACACATACTAATATATCCTGAGGAAGCTGCTGTATTTTTCCTAAACTTCATTATCTTCAGACAAGGCAAAACTTCGCTGGCTAAAATACAGAATGCTCAAAACCTTATGAAATCCAGTTTTCAGCTTCCACCAAAGAAACAGCAGGTAGCTGTAAGAACCAAGCCTGGCACAGCCATCAACAGAATGAATGTTCGCTGGACACAGTCGGTATAGGTGCACGGGGAACTACAGTTTGTAAGGAAAAAACAGCTTAGGTATTGTACACAGCTACGTTAACACCAAAGCTTTGGAATAACACAGCAGTCTTGTGAAACACCAGGACAGCAGGTGAACCAAAAAAAAGCATGTTTACAAACAGCAGTCTTACTCATCCCATGAGAACAAGATGACCAACACGAGCTGATCCAAATATCCCGCAGAGTTCCCACAGGAGAAAGCACTCCGTGACAGGAACTGAAATACATGCACAGGGATAGTTTGCTTGCTACAAGGTTTCTGAACTTCACCAGAACTGCTGGCAACAGTTCACAGGCACAAGCCTGGGTAAATCTGCCTGGCTTTTCAAAACAAACATTTTCCACAAGTCAGTGTCCTCATCTTTGTACCCCAGTGATATCAGACACAAACTGTGCGGGCTTGTTTCTCAACATTTCCATTGCAGACTTTTGCTATAATGCAACATACAAAATATGAATACATTTTTACACCTCCACTTGATGGGGCTATTTAATACACTGTATCTGCCAGAGATATGTTATAAAAGAGAAGTCTCTGCTAACTTACATCAGCCCAGACCTTCCATGCCTCTTTAGCCTTCTTCACTGTTTCTTCATAATCCTCGACACTAGCCTATATGAAGAAGCATGTCAAAGATAAAGTTAAGCAAATCAAAACCCCAAAACAAATGCCACAGAAAAGCTTCTGCACTCAAGACATTTCTAGTAAAGAGTACTTG